ATGTCCAGTTGCCTACAGATGGGCTTTGGGTCCCCACTCCACACTCCCCCTCATTCACAATGATATGATTTTTTGTTCTTTGATGCCTGATACCTGATCTCATTGACACCTCGTGATCACATAGGCTGGTGTGTTTCTACCATGTGGGCTTTGTTGCTTCTCAGCTAGATGGCCGCTTGTTTATCTTCAAGCCTTTAAGACCCCAGATGCTGTATCTTTTGATAGCCTGGCACCATCAGCTTAATTCACCACATTTGCTTATGCACCCGCTTTGTCTTCAGCGATTGTGTCGGGAGGTGAGCATCATGGAATCATTGCAAACTCTCTAAGTGGACCTCCAGTGAGTGTTTCACTGAAGACTTAGATGAGGCTGTATATACCACCAAGGGGAAATCTCTGCAGCAGGCTGAGAAAGAACCCAGAATAGACTAGACAGAAAAGCTATGCACAAATTTCAAGATATGTAGGGTGATATAAGTTAAAGTGACAGAGACATCTTCACACACCAAATGGAACGTTTTCAAAGGCAGCAGGACTTCCTCATCTCTATTAGAATGGGAAGAGCAGGCATGGAGTATTGGTAAGACGAGAGCAAGGCGCTGCCAGAAGTTACAAGAATCACGGAGCAGAGGAAATCAGGGAGTTCCATTAATCATCAGATCTTGGAGTTGCACCTCATGGAGAGGGCCAGGGGGGAGGAAAATAGACTAGGCTGGTGACTCTCAAAGTCCTTTCTCCCTCTTTAAGTGTCCTGCAAGCTACAGAAAAGTCTTTTTCAAAGCCAGGGAGACCTATTGAATCATCGCACTTAATGAGAACAGGACTTTCTTTCTTTTTAAAGATGACATTATTGGGGCCTCTTACAGCTCTTCTAACGATCCATACATCAATTGTATCAAGAACACCTGGACATATGTTGCCATCATTATTTTCTAAACATTTACTTTCTATTTGATCCCATGGCATCGGCTCCTCTTTTTCCCTTCCCTCCCTCCCTATCTCCCTCCCAAGCACGGTTTCCTTAAAAGGGTTGTGAGGTGCTGAACTTAAAGTAGATACTTTTGTTGGGAAAGATAATTGCCCAGATTTCAAAGGGTCTTTCCAAATTGCACACCCTTTGGTTGGCATATAATCTGAGGCTGGCATGTAACTCATGGATAACCCAGGCTTGGGGGCAGAAGCTACAGGCCCTTCTGAGCATTTGTATGTGGATGTAGGACCTCATGGCACCGTCGCATGAGAGGTCGGGGTTCCCAATGTGCATTGTGTGATGATGTGCAATTCGAAGGCCCAGGAGCATAGGCCTATTTCTCCTTGAAAGTTGGGTCTAAGCATTTATGAGGACTCTTTACTATCTTGGCTAAAGATAAATCATAGTGCACATCTTGTAACTAAGTACAACTGGTGCAATCTCTCCCAATATCTGTGGTGGGCAGCACGTTTCCCGAGCCCCTCCCAGGAGGTTGGTTGTCTCGAGCCCCAACTCTTCCAAAGTCCTTTGATCCAAACGACAAACTCCTGGCGACTGGAAGTCTTCATGGTTCTCATTTTTCCCCTCAGATGATCCAGGAACCTGCACATCATGCGCTCTGGGGTATTACATGTAAGTTGGGCCTTCTTTTGGGGGCACTCACTTTTTTGCAGCTTAAGCATGACTGACTTCATCCTCAGTCCCATGATGAAAGCCAAGGGCCCGGCAGTCTGAAGCAACTGTCCCGTCAGGCTGCTAACAAGCCTTTCCTGGAGTTAGCAATAAGCACCCAGCTGTGCTCTTGCCTCAAGAGGAGGGCTTCCCTTTCTTGATCCCGGAAGCCCCCCAGTCTGACACTGGCATCTAGGAGTCATGCTGTGGGTTCTCAAAATTCAGAACGTGTTGCTTCTGGACAGAGCTTAAATAGATAACCTGACCCAAAGGAAGCGCTTTCCAAATGTTTGCACGAAGGCTCCGTCCGATGGAGGAGCCCGAAGCTTCAGGTGGAAGGTACACATAGCTCAGGATCATTCCACGTGGCGGAGGGACCCAGGCCACTGAAAAAACAAACTCACTGCCACCCAGTCAATGCCAACTCATAGCAACCCTTCAGGGCCGGGTAGAGCTGCCCCTATGAGTTTCTCTTCATGGAGTAGGAAGCCCCATCTTTCTGCCCTGCAGCCGTTAGTGGTTTAGAACTGCTGCCCTTGCAGATCACAACCCAACTCATAACCACTGCACCACCTGGGCATCTCACCTGCCTACCCAAGCCAAGTTGGTAGGTTTCAGTGTCCACGCCCCTTCCTGTTCTAGTGTCCCTGCTGGTGCACACACTGCTCATCATCCTGAAAGAAAACCTCAGAAAGGAAGGGAGAGGAGAAGCAAAGGAGAGCCTGGTTATGGACAGGCTGAATTGTTTCCCGGGGCCGTGCTAATGGCTAGAGAGGCCGCTCTCCTGTCCATTCCCTCCCTTCCCCTTCCCAGCACGATGACCAGGGACTAAGGCTCTGTGACGGTCTCCAGATGAGGAAGCTGAAGCTCACTGAGAAGCTGGCTTTGCCCTAAGTTGGGCCAGAGCCTCGGGGGGGATCTGGGCACTGCCTATGCCCCACGCTACCTTTTACCACCTCTATCCCTTCCTAGGGACTTGAAGCGAAGTGATATGAAATATTAAAGGTGGTGGCGAGTATGAGAGAGAAAGGTGAAGCCCATTAAAATAATCAGGTAACCTTGTTGTTACTTAAACCTGAATTCAGTGTTTCCCCATTATTGTCTGTTATTCTCCACCTTGACTGCATTTCCCTAGCATTGCCCACCTGCGCTGCTGTTACATTAGCATGCCGCGTCACGAGGGGAGAAGTGGAGAAGAGGCACTCGGGATTGATTAGGACAATACAGACCAGGTGACATGTAACGAGCACAGAGCAATTTGTCTACAGGCTCATAGTTGCTATCTACCCAGTAGATGTTTACTCTACCTGCTGTCAGCTCCCCACGCAGAGATGTGCAGCAGACATACAGGCATTCTTTGGCAAGGACCCATGGTGGAGGCCACAACATATTTCTTGCAGGGCCAGTGGGAGTCGAGCTTAGACTTACATTAAGATACAACCAGGCCGAAGTGGACAAAGGAGTCTCTCTCTACCTGGCTCCTCTATCATTCTGTATTCCTTCTGCCAAACTCTCCTCTGGTGGTGTCATGGTTACTTGCTGGGCTGCGAGCCAGATGGTCTATAGTTCATGGTCACCAGCTGATCCCAGGGAGAAAGATGGGATTTCTACTCCTGTAAAGAGTTACTAGTCTCAGAAACCCACGGCAGGGTCACTGTGAGCTGGCATTGACTTAGTGGCAGTGAGTCTGATTTGGGTTTTAATTCTCACACCTGTCTTCTTTGTTGTGATCAGTTAAAGTCAGAGCTAGCCCCGCCAGCCTCTCAGATTCACGCTGCTCTAGTAATAGGTGTGTTTCATAAACACACCCACCCCCCAAGAAACAAATAGATTGAAAGAACACATCACAATATAACCAAGAGGGAAATGTGGGATTATTTTTCAAAGAAACACACATTTATTACCTTTTAAAATATTTAATAACTTTGAATACAGCCAATAAAATGCTAAACAATAGGTGTTCTTAAGGCAGTAACACCAAGATTTCCTCTGATGTCTGGTTGATGCTATGAAATTTATCAGAGTTAAGTACAACTTTGGTCCACGCCCTCTTGAAATTCAGCTTGCTATTTATTCAGTTGAGTCTGATTACATTTTACTACATAATAAGAGATAATATGTGTAAAAATGTATGCATAAAAGCTAAAGCATTGTTATGCATAATAATATATGTTCTACATGATATATTGTGCTGTAGAACATGGTATATATAGCCTGGTTACAGATAAGTTCAAGTAGTTTACCAAACTAACACTGAGTGGTCTGCATCCCATGCAAGTGCCAGGTGTATGGTGGCAAAAGCACACAAGTTTCGATACAGACTGTAGTTACGATTCCAGAGCTACCTTGAACCAGCTCTGTGATTTTCCAACACTTGATCTTGACCCTTACTCAGTGCCCGTATGTAGAATTTAAGGATTAGTAATCTCCCCCAAAGGAGCCCTGGTGGCATAGTGGTTCCTGCAAGGTCAGCAGTTTGAAAGCGCCAGCTGCTACTTGGGAGAAAGATGGATGGGGCTCTCCGTCCCTGTAGTTACAGTCTCAGAAGCCCATGGGGACAGGTCTACCCGGTTCTACAGGGCCGCCATGAGTCAGCATCGACTCCGTGGCAGTGAGATCCTTCTCTCCCCCACTGCCCTGGTAAAGAATGTTCAGAGGTACAGAGGATATGGTTAGGGAGTTGATTTCTTCCTTGGAAATCCAAATACTGACCCCTGTTTAAAACAAACTGAAAAAAGACCTCAATGTTAAGTATGGTGCTTAAGGGAGATCTCTCAGCATGTCTCATGGAAGCAAGCACCTCTTCTCCCCCCAGGTTCAAACGTCAGTGCTACAGGACCTGCCCCGAGAACACCTACCGGGAAGACTTCGAATGCAAGGAGTGCAGTCCCAAGTGTGGCGACTGTGACCCCCAGGAGTGCTACTGGTGTGAAGAGGGCTTCTTCCTGCTGGGTAAGCCAGACCCGCCCGCCTGCCCACCCGCCCTCAGCCAGTGTTCCCAGAGAACTCCCCTCAGGGGCTCCAGGGTCCTCATCCACTGGTGTCCTTTGTCCAACAAGACTTCAATTCGACTGGGAAACAAGCACTAGCCAAGATGGTAGTATTCTTTTGATCCAAAAGTGTAATATGAGTTCTACTCTATCTCCCATCTCATGAGAACAAGGATTAAGTAAGGGAAGAAGGGCACTAGGATAGGGCCCTCTGCAGATACACCCTCTGGAACTGAAGTCACCCGGGATGTCCAGGACCCGGCCCTGGACACTTAATCCTTGCCTCATATTCCTGGACAGCATTCTAAGAGTAACAAGATCCCTTGTCTTATGCCTCCATCACACCATTGGATGGAAATAAATAATTAGGAAAGAAATCTGAATATATGCTGATCCTTCCAAATGAAAAGCAAAAGACTGGGTAGAGCCCATGGGTAGAGCTATACGGTTCTCCATCTGGAGGTGCATCTGATTTGCCATTTTTCAAGCCCTCAAGAAGGTCCCCATCTTTCTTCTGAACCCTTTGAACTGATGGCCAAAGAGAACAGAGACTGGGTTTGGGATTTATTAAAACACATTCTTTTGCTGATGTACACATTCGCCTGTACACATTATTTAATTAATTTATTTTAAATCACTTTATTGGGGGCTTATACAACTCTTTTTAAAAAAATCATTTTTGAGGGGGCTCATACAACTCATCACAATCCACACATCCATCCATCAGGTCAAGCACATTTGTACATTTGTTGCCATCATCATTCTCAAAACATTTTTTTTCTACTTGAGCCCTTGGTATCAGCTCCTCATTTCCTCTCTCTGCTCTCCTTCCTCTCTCCTGAGCCCTTGATAATTTGGAAATTATTATTATTTTTTCATGTCTTACACTGTCCGATGTCTCCCTTCACCCACTTTTCTGTTGTCCATCCCCGAGGGAGGGGATTATATGTAGATCCTTGTGATCGGTTCCCCCCTTCTCCCCCACCTTCCCCTTCCCCTCCCGGTATCACCACTCTCATGCTTGGTCCTGAGGGGTTTATCTGTCCTGGATTCCCTGTGTCTCAGCTCTTCTCTGTACCAGTGTAGACATGATTTTTTAGAAATCAAAGTGTTCCTACGATGCCCTTCTGCTTCTTTAGCAGGTAGCTTTTCATAAAGCGCCATGCCTTCATGTGTCCTTGCTGTGTTTCTCCACAGGTGGCCGCTGTGTGGCAGAATGTGGCCCTGGCTTCTACAGTGACCCAGACATGGGAGAGTGTGAGCCCTGCCACGGAGCCTGTGGAACCTGCACAGGCCCAGGCCCTGAGGCATGCAACGGTTGCCTTGAGGGGTTGCAGCTGCGGTATGGGAAATGTGTCAGTCCTGTCCAGGCCCAGGTGGAAGGCACATTCTGGAATGGTAGGTGTCCCCCAAGCGAGAGACCCCAGGGTCTAACTTCCTCCCCTGACTGCCTCCCTCCCTTTTGAACCCTTACTTCTGCAACCCCCATGAAGACTGGCCAGGGAAAGAGCAGAGAGGAGAAGCAAGTTGGTTCCGCCCCTGGGGCCAACTTGCTGTCACCAGAAGTGGAGACTGTGGTTGGCATGGGGCCAGAAAGGGGCACCCTAAGAGTCACTTACTAGTGGCCTTGCCCCTAAGGTTCTCCCTGGGCCAATCTGACCTAGAACCGACCAGTTGTCATGGAGACGATCCTGATTCCTGGCCCGCCCATAGATGCTGAGAAGAAGGGTCCCCCAGGAGGCAGGGACCTTTCAGAAGCCGGACACCAGGCCTTTCTTCTGAGTTGCCTGGGAGCAGCTTCCCATTGCCCTCCTTCCTCATGGACAGAAGGATTTAACCGTTTATACCCCGCAGGGACTGGAAGATATAAAGAGAGTCATATAGGGAAATGACCCAAACTCCTTTTTTTTCTCAAAAAGTTTAAAAGGACTTCTAACACAGGCATATATTTTTATACCAGGATAAAGGAAATCTAGCCAATAGGGTAGTGGGGTTTTTTTGTTTTGTTTTTCCCACCCACACCCAGGTAAATGAGGAAGAATTGCCCTAAAGCAATGGAACTCTTCCTAAAATGATGGAACTTTAAGATTAATTATTAGAACTTAATACCATTCAAGCTTATTTTTTAACAGGTGCCCTCCCCAGTAGCAGATGAGGGGAAATGGAAGGGTAGAGAGGGGGAAATGAAGAAGGAAAAATAGAGGAGATTTGGATCAAACAGTCAAGACCCACATCGATCTCAGTCTTACCTGAGTTGTTAACATTTCTCTCACGTTTAAGCGTCCATCCCAGTTACCTTACAAGGAAACTACGGACTTTCGGTGTGATTTCTCCAAGCCTGGGGTGGTTCCAACCAAGAAGAGCTTCTTTCTGGAAACCAGCCTCACAGAGCAGTCAGAGCAACGCACGGAAACGAGAGGTGTTCGCTGCTCGACGCCTAGCCAGGAGATTGTTCGAAGGGTCATGTCTGCGCAGAAGTGAGACCAGCTCATAGGAGGCCCCCCCCAGGCTGAGAGAGGCACAGGTGGGGTCAGGAGAAGAGGGGACATCTATGGCCGCGGTCGCCTGTGACAATGTAACGAAGGGCAGCTGGGAGGCATGGAAAGCCCAGTGGCCACCGGCCAAGGGGAGCACAGGGCCCATTTCAGAGACATGGCTGGGAAGAAAAATGTTCAGTCCAGGTCGAGCTATCTTCCATGAATTATAGCTGAACCAAAATTCTGCAAAAGAATGTGTCTGGCATGCAGGCATTCGAGGGGCAGTGCGCGCCAGGAGGAAAACGGTCTGGTGCTGTGTTTGTAGCTCAGAACATCTGTATTCCATCTGGCCTAGCAGCTGATGAAAAGGTTCACGGAGCCAAGAGCCAGAGCAGATTGGATTTCCCACATGATTACCCGTCCCTTCAACTGGACTACGCATTCTGCGAGCAGAGATTGGGCTGTGATCGTCCCCTTTGCTGGAGCACCGCACCCATCCCTCGACATTTTCTACGATTGAAACGTGATGTTTGAGAAAAGACAAAGGAATTAGTCCGTTTGGGAGTTGAGCTTTAAGAAGCAGATGAGAATGGCTCTTGGGGCTGAACAAAAGCAATAAAGTCCGTGGCATGGAGGTACTTTCTCATGTCTGCGATCTATGAAATAAATAAAGCACGCAGACCAGCCACAGAGAGGGGTGTGGTAGAGAACTGTATCCCTGGGCCAGGTAAGGCCATCCCGCCCTCGGCTTCCCCAGCAGAGTTTGGGCCCTGGATTCCATAAAGCCCTGGGAGTTCTGGGACATGCCTTGGTGTCATGGGAGAGCACACAGTTCCAGGGAACAAGCGCTCATCCGCCACACCTTTCAGATGATGGAAACCAGGCTGCAGTCATCCTGGGTGACCAAGCGTGGGGCTTTGAACGGGTTCATTCCAGTTTTCATAGGTCATTCTTAGGTACTCAGAAGCACCTGGGGGCGCTTCTTAAAAATGTCGATTCCAGCTCCATCGAAGGCACCCTCTCTGCAGGGGGCCAACCAGAATGAAGCCCAGGCCCGGACCAGGGTCATTGTGTTTGTGAGAATACGTAGCTGCCTATGTGGCACCAGACGGGTTTTCCCTCTTTCCTTTCACACAGATTTGGTACGAAAGTTCACTTCTCCACTGCTCCCCAGTGGGAAGACAAGGTCACGTTCTCTGTGGAGGGCTGCCACCTATCCCGTGAGTACAGGTGAGCGCATTGGGAAAAGACCCCCCAATCAGAACCGCTACGGCTGTTCAGTGACCATCCCTTTGAATGCAATGGCTAATGAGGAGTGTGACAATGACATCACTCGTAGTCACCGACCAGCAAAGCGGGAACCCCTGCTGCCCCAGGTGGAGGATGGAGGTTTCTCCATACATTGGATCAGGCCTGGTCATGGATGCTGGACGGTTCCTCCAGCCAAGAAGTCAGCTCCCCGTGATGTTGCTCAACTCTCTCTGTTCTCCCCACACCGAAATGTCATTGCCTACAAAGTTTTATTTTATCTGCAGCGCCTCTTCTAGAGTCACTAACATACTGTGCACAGTATTGCAGACACTCTCTAAGTGGCGGCAGTAAGATTAGTAATTACGCAGACAGCGTGGGGTTTCAGCGACGACTCAGATGCCCCTTACAAAGCCAGCCCTGGTGGAAATGTTCAGGTGCCGCGGGTCCCTGGCTTTGAAAGAAAGATGAGGATGGTGTCCACTGATGTCCTGAAGCCATTGTTGCACATGGAAACCGTTTTCCCTGGTACCATCCACCACCTGGGTCTTCTGACAGGCTTTCCCCCCTAGTGTAGAGAAAGTGGCAGAAGTATCCCTGCCCAGTTTCCCCACCCACCTAGTTCCTCGCTGATAAAAACCGTGCATGCAGGAGGCTCTAAATCAATGTACCGATGATCACCTAATCCACAAAGCAAAGGCATGGCGAATTCCCTTTTTGTCTTTGACTATATCCTAATACGTTATCACTAACCTATATGGTGGCTGCAAAAGAGTTCAGTACAGTAGTAGCTACAGAAGGGTGGGGCATGAAGCTACTAAAAAAAATTAAGACAAAAAATATAATGAATGATGGTTCATACAAATAACATGAAAACTACTGAAAATGATTTCAGTGAAAACTTGAATGACAAGATAAACCTTGTGGGGACCTATAAAGTGGGGGGAAAGGTTACTTCTTTCATACAAGGGGCACCCCAAAACATCCGGAATTGCGCTGGGCAGAGCGGAGCTTTGGTAGTATGCATTTTACAATTGAGTGCAAAACTATGGAACTATTATCACATTGTATTGTGTTATACTGATTACACAAATATCCAACTCAATGCCACCCACTGGATTCCGACTCACAGAGACCCTACAGGACCGAGTAGCACTGCTCTTTGGGTCTCCAGGGGTTAACCCTTTAGCGGGGATACGTGTCATTGTACTCACAGGTTCAGTATGAAAACGGGGTATCTACTGCCAACGGAAGCCCAGCAGATATTACTGGGTGGGGGGATAAAGGGTGCAGAATATCTTCTTTTGAGCTATCATTTTTGCATTCACAACAACCACACTGTGTTTCTTTTACTGAAAAAGAGCCCGGGCCCACCGCAAGACCATCTGTGGTGAAGAACCAGCTGCAAGAGCGACGAAGGTGGAAAGTTCTAATCAAAAGAGGTAATAGGGGAATCGAACCAAAAGAGTCCCAGGCAGGACCCAGGCTGCTGGGGAGCCCGCCCCACACCTGTGGCCACAGCGCTGAGGTCTCAGGCCAGGAGTGGAGCGGGGGAGGGTCGGGAACCGAAAACTAGGGGAACTCCATCCCTGGAAGGTCACTATAATGGCGGTGCCTGGCCCACACAAGACATCCCTAACAACCCGAAGGCATTCTACTGTCTTGGTGAAAATGATTTGTTTTGTTTGGGGGTGGTCCTGTCTCGGAGGGGAGGGGTGGGAGAAAGAAACTGATCAAGATCAAATTACATTTACACAGAGAAGAGTGAAATTAAGCCACTAATCTTTTCTATTTTATTACAAAGTCAGTCTTTAGAAAAACGATTTTCACATTATATTGATGCAAAACTCTAGCATAACTCCAGTTGGGGAGAACATGGCCCCATGCCCACATGCACTTGCTAAACTAAGGAACATGCTGGCTCAGGGGTTAAGTGCTCTGCTCATAACCGAAAGGTCTGGGTTTCGAGCCCACCAGCTACTCCACAGGAAAAGATTCACAGCCTTCAAACCCCCACACAGCAGTTCTGCTGGGTCTGAGTGGAAATCTATTCAAATAACCACGGGAATTGCTGAATGAAACGTATGGACAGAGCGCCCTCTGGTGAAGAAAGTAAAACACTACAGAAATTTAAACCAAGTGTACAGGAAAATATCTAATTGTCACAATGTGAGCGTTATATATGTATGTGTGTGTAGATATGTTACGATGGTTTTAAAATAGCGTGGTGTAAATTAAAGCTCATAAACTCAGAAACACAACCTTTAATAACAAAGATGGTAAACGCAACAAGAAATCATCCAATGATCTGGACCCATAGCATGGAAGCTCTCCCAGGTGCCTCACGAGCAAAGACCATTCTGTCTGGTCGCGGCTGCAACAGCTGGCCTCCCCCAGAAAGTAAGCATTTCGCTTGCTTGACCTTGGGAACAGAGGAGTCTGCTTCCCATTATGCAGGTGTTTCCTCTCAGGTCTTCCTCTCTAATGAAACGCCCTTGACCAGGCTGACACACAAGTCAACTATGTTTGGGCAAATCCAGAAACTACTATCCTGTGTGTAGGGTTCATCTGAGTTCTTAACAGCGTCCCCGGCGAGAGCTCATCATTCACACGGCGACCAGCTTCCATCCGCGTACAGAAAAACAAGGGCAGTTATTTTACCTCCGTGTTGTAAAATAAACTGACCTACACGCCTGCCCATGTCTGTGTGCAGTGGAATCTGTTCCCTGGTTACAAGTCTCGGCAGCTTTTGAAGCCACAAGTGCCTCCGTTACAGGGAAACAACGCTTCCCAGAGTCTCTGAAAGGACAGAGGACAGAGGGACAGACATAACGCCACAGCCTGAGAGACGGGCAGGCAGTCGGGGAAGAAGCCGCAGCGGAAAAGCGCTCCCTGATCACGTACCGAGCTCCCATGCCAAGCAATCCATACACATCACCTCACTTAGTCTCCAAAACAGCCTGGTAAAGGAAAAATCATTTCCTCTCTCACGGAAAGACCCTGAGGATTTCATTGCTGTATCCATGGTTACCCCACCATGAGCAACCACAGCTGGCTCTGGAGGCAGGTGAGACTAGGGAGCCAACGACTCAGACGCTCAGGAAGAGAAGGGAGAAATGAACGCAAGGAGGGAGGAGCTGGGAGGGCAACGGTAGCACCCCAACCACTGGCTGGATGCCAGTCATCCACGCACACGCGCTGTGCGACAACGGCCCCTTTATTAGTCCCCTGCCTGAGTCGTGCCGAAGCTGACATGCAAATTCTGAAGTTGGTGCCTAGGTCTCCACACGCATTGAGTGAATCATCGAAGTTGTTCTGTAGTCTTGGAAACTGCCCCGTGGAGTTGGCTGAGGGGACCACTGAAGAACTGGATCTGTCAAATGCTCTTGGAGGGCCAGAGAAGAGGACCCCCTACCCCCCCACCCCCCCCAAGAGCAATGGTGGTGACAGCCTGCTTAAAACCCGAGCAGCCAGCATGCTCGATGGTAGACCTGTGACTTGATGGTTTAACAATGAGTTGGGGTAAATTTAATAGAAGGTAAATCTGTATTCCACCAGGGCTGCCCTGATGAAACACAGACCCCTAAATTTTGACCAATAATGAAATATGGTGTTTAAAAAGAACATAAGAAAGAAGAACTGTATGGATTGTGATAAGAGTTGTATGAGCCCCTAATAAAACAATTAAAAAAAAGAGAAAGAAGAACTGCTTCGCTATTAGTGACCCATGAATCCTGTCATCACCATGGAGTGGACGGAAATAGTCATTTAAGAAGCTTAGGGAAAGAAATGGCTTATGAACTTGCTCACACTCTTGCACATTTTTAATGTACTAGGGGTACCCCCAAACCAAAATTTCCCCCCAAAATTATGTATCTAAATTTTTTTTTTTTAACAAAACAACCTCATCACCTTCAACGTACTCTCCATTACATGTAATACGTTTGTCAAATCTGCGATTCCATTCTTGGAAACATTTTTCAAACTCATCTGTTTGGGTGGCTGACAGCACCTCCCTCGTGTTTTCCTTTACCTCTCTTATATCATCAGATCTCTGTCCTTTCATGTCCCTCTTCACTGGAGGAAACAAAAAGAAGGCATACGGAACCGGCGCACTGAGATGGCTGTGTGAGCAGGTGCACTGTTGTGGACGTCCGGTCCCTCCTCTGCTCCATCCGGCCGTTTTGTTGCACACTCTGATGCAATCTGTTCAGAACCTCCAACCCTGTGACGCCGAATTTTTAATTTCAGGGAAACAAATTTTTTTTTTATTCTTTACTTTCATAGTTATCAATATATATTAATATATTCATTTAATTAAATGTTACAAAAACATCACACTCGGTGTTATAGGGTTAATAGAAAGCTTGATTAACAGTCTGATCTGGTGGAACTTACACCAAATGTACTACGAGTTGACATTTTCATCTGTTCGGGAAGTTGATGGACATCCAGAATGAGGTTTGTCATCAATTGGCATTTCGCCTTTTCTGAAACAAGAAAACCACTCACACACTCGAGTTTCCCCACCGCGCTGTCCTCGTATGTTGTGTTCAGCATCACAACAGTTTCTGCTGCATTTTTCTGAAGCAGGAAACAAAATTTCACAGCTACCTGCTGTTCTTTTAAATTGGCCATCACAAAAGACAAGGTCCGAGCACAACTGCTTTTACGAAAAATCTCCCTGTGACCAGAGAGAACCTTGCTAGGCGACCCACTGGGAGCACTAACCCCGAGCGAGTTTTGTTGCTCGATGCTCGTCTAGTGGGAAGCATACATGCTAACAAAGCTCCACTGCCCAGCACAATTCTGTTTTGGGGGGGTACCCCCTCTTATGAGAAAAGTAACCTTTTTTTCACTTTAAATATCCCCCAAAAGGTTCAAGACAACCTTGTAAGACCCCACATTTTCTGTTGCTGGCAGTTTGTAAGCAAAGGGTCAATATCAATGAGTAAGAGAGCGAGAAAACACAAATGAAATACGTCTGTGTAGACAATGGACTAATGGAAAATTGAAGAAACTCTGCTTTGCGCAGGAGGGGAGATCCCTTGTCCCTGAGATCTTTTGTGAACACTACCAGATTGTGAGTTGACTCAAAGGAGGAAATGGACTTCTCGTTCCTTTCTTTACACAGATATCTTTAGAGAAGACCAGACATGTCATCCATCCTGTAAAACTTGCAGTGGGTCTGCGACGCTGTGTACCTCATGTCCAGAAGGTGAGCATGGAGCTGAGGGAGGGCACTGGTTGGTTCAATTCATGCCAACACAGGTAGGTATATAAGGAGCTTTGTAGGTCCACCTTCGATGCCATGACATGTTCCTATCACAATGGCTATGCTGGAAAAACACAGAAACCCACACATTGGCCATCAGTGAAAACTGGCTTTCAAAAGTCAGAAATCAAGAGGGAAGAAATGCTTATTAACCCAATAGCATGATTAAGCTATTAGTTATGTGGCCATAGAATTTTCTAGGCCTTAACTCTGGGTGCCATCAGCTAGGTTAATAGTTCAAAGCCACTTGCCTCATCCGAGAAGAAAGCAATGGTACTGACAGTCCTGGGGAGACTTGGGGGAGAGGAGCAGTGAGCAAACAATGCCATAGACAAGGGAACAACTAGGGAATTAAAAGCAACAATGAGGTGGATGTATAGATCATGGTGGTGTGGGAGCAACAGCGATCTAGCTTAGGAATTCCTAAGAGGCAGAAGGGCAAGCATGATGGTGGGGCAGGAAGAAGGTAAAAGGAAACAGAAGAAAGACCTACGAAGCAAAGCTATGGAAAGAGGTATAAACATAGGTGCACTCATGTAAATATATTAATTCACAAAAATAACGGTATTGGCCTATGTACACATATTTATATGGCAATACATTGAGGAAGTGAACAGACTTTCGGCCTCTACTCAAGCCCTCCCTCAACACAAGAACACTTTATTCTAAGAACCTGGCATTCTGCGATGCTCACCCTGCCAGGCATGATCGCTGAAGGCAAAATGGGTGCATAAGCAAATGTGGTGGAGAAAGATGACAGTGCCAGACTATCAAAAGATACAGTATCTTGGGTCTTAAAGGCTTGAAGTTAAACAAGGGGCCATCTAGCACAGAAGCAACAAAACCCACATGGAAGAAGCATATCAGCCTGTGTGATCATGAGGTGTCAACAAAATCAGGTAACAGGCATCAGAAGACCCAAAACAAACAAAAAACATATTGTTGAGAATAAGGGGGGTCGGAGCAGAGACCCAAACCCATCTGCAGAAAGTAAGACATCCCCTCACAGAAGAGTCACAGGGAAAGGATTTGTCAAGTAGGGTGTAGTATAGCACTGATGAAATACACAGCACTCCTGCGGCTCATTGAGGCTTCCTCTCCCCCCACTATCATGATCCCAGTCCTACCTTTCCGTTCTGGCTAGACTGGAGCATGTACACTGGTTCAGATAAGAGCTCAGGACACACAGAATTCAGGTAAGACAAAGCCCTCAGGAACAGAAATAGGAGTGGCGGTACAGGAGGGTAGGGGGCAGTTGGGGGGGGGGGGGCGGCGATCGACATATAACTATCACCACCAGCAACCCCTCCTCCCACCCCAGGGGGACAAATGATCGAAACATGGGTGAAGTGAGACAGTGGTCGGTGTAAGATATGAAAACAATAATAATCTATAATTTATCAAGGGGTCATGAGGTTGGGAGAGGGGGGAGGGAAGAAAAAATAGAAGCTGATACCAAGGGCTCAAATAGAAAATGTTTAGAAAATGATGATGGCAACATATGTACAAATATGCTTGATACAATTGATGTATGGGATGTCATAAGAGCTGTAAGAGCCCCAAATCAAAGGATGAGGCTTTTTGTTCCCATAAATATATACAGGTTGGGAACCGCCCGGGGCAGTTCTATTCTGTCCGATATGCGTGGGAATTGACAATGAGTTTCTGTTTTGTTTTTGAAGGGTGCCATTTCCCTTTAAATGTACCTTTAAAGTACATTAGTCTAAACAAGAGAATTTAAGGGGAAAAAATACAAATGAGTGTAAAGAGACGGCCTCTTATTTCCATCTTCCTTACTGATCCGGAATTTAGCAGGGAGGATGGGGAAGCAAAGCTGACAAAGTAAGTTTAACTATTGCTTGCTTTGGCCTAAGAGGCCACACAAAACATCCTAAATAAACAGCTACCAGAAGGAGGGGGCTATTTGATTAACTCAGTACGTCATGATAAAGGATGTTTTGATACCAGTAAAGTGGTCATCCTGAAGGCCATGTCGGACTGTGCAATGTTCACAGTAACAGGTGGTGACAAAAACACACACCGTCCATTTTAATTCCTGGAGTCTCACATGTTTCAGAGTAGAACTGGGCTCCACAGAATCTTTGAGGGCGGTGACCCCATGGAGGTGGACCACCAGAGCTTTCTTCCATGCTGTCACTGCGTGGATATGAACCACCAATCTTTCAGGGAGTGGGTGAGCGCAAACTGTGTACACCCACCAAGGATCTTCACAGGCGTGCCCTGATTGCAATTGGATATACAATATAAGAAGTTGCATTCAAAATGGGAAGGGATTGACCTTGAGTTTGGGGCTTGGGGTGATGTCTAATCTGCTTCTTAAGAGTGGCCTCATCTGCTGCTGTTACAGCCGTCTCTGTTGAAACGCACTTGCCTGTCAGGACAGGTGTCTGGTGTGTTAATAAGCTTGGCCTTGGGAAGGCACAAGGGTAGATTCCATCAAGAGACTGATCGACTCAGTAAAGCCAAGCCCCAGAGTAGCCCGTGCCCAATATCAGTAGCAAAGTACAAGAACAAATGCCCCCTCTTGTCAGCATCCGTCTGGAGATGTAACTACTCTCGGACAGTTTGGCATTACTAATCGAAACTCTGGTAAGGCTGGAATCACTGCTCTGTGTCCTCGGGGCCTGGGTTAGTCTGGGTAGACTAGAGAAACCAATTCATAAACACGCATATGTGTATAAGAAAGAGTTTTATATACAAGAGCAATTGAACATTGAGAAAATATCCCAACCCAGTCCAGTCCAAGGCCGTAAGTCTGATATTAGCCCACATGTCCGATACCAATCTACAAAGTCCTCTTCAGACTCACAAGACACATGCAATGAAGCCAAAGGCAGAATGATCACAAGTCAACGGGTAGAAAGTCTTTGGGTCCAGTGGCATTGTAAGCATCTCAGCACTGGCAGGGGTCTCTCTGTGGCTTCTCCAGCTTCCAAGGTCTGGTTGTGTCCATGTGGCTTGTCTTCTGCAATGTCTCCCAGGAAGCAGCAGAGAGAGAGAGAGAGAGAGAGAGAGAGGTGTCTTCCGCCTCCAAGGAGGAGGTACCAGATTTCCCAGAATTCTCAGGAGAAGGCCATGCCCACACAGAAGTCTCATTGGCTATCCTTACATTGACACCAGATTAGGTGACGAACACAGGGCCTCTGGAGAGGTAAGAATCATGTTTGTGGGTGTCTGTCAGGACAGAGACGTGATGGTGATTCGAACTGCCCTCTCCCTTGTCTCTAGGTGCGTACCTACTGGCTCAGGCCTGTGTCACCTCCTGTCCTCAGGGGACGTGGCCCTCAGCGAGGAGTGGCAGCTGTGAAAACTGTGCCGAGGACTGTGCCTCTTGTTCTGGAGCTGATCTGTGTACCGAGTGCCAGAATCCGCCTGACCGCCAGCTCTTCCTCCACGAGGGCAGGTGCTACTCCGTGTGCCCCGAGTAAGTTTCCCTCTTCCCTGGACGTCCAGTTCACGCGCATTCCACTTTGGGGCAATGACTTTTTATTCACCAAAGACCCGGCCTCCTCCCTGGGTAGAACACCCATCTGGACATCTTCTTCGGACCGCCTGGCCCCACTGTTGACCACAGAAAAATTCCTCGTGACTCCCAGGCTTTCCAGAGCCATGGAATGTGAATCAACCCCTGAAACAATAACCCTGAGATCATCTTTAGACCTTAAGCCAAAAATATCCCCCAAGTCCTCTCAGAAGAAAACAGTAGTTTGGCGGAACTAGTAAGAAAGCTCTGCCTTGACTATTACCCTCTATGAGGGCCATCTATTTATATGGAATCAAATTGACGACAGCAACTGGAAAGGTTGGATAGGAACCTCAGGGGACAGTGAGCTTGGGTCAATGAGGAGAGAGAACCACAGACCATGAGCATGAGCGCAGTGGGCACCATCACGATTGTAACCCATGCCGCTAAGCTGCATGTATAGAAGCCGGTGTTGTCTGTGTATACCAGGGGGTACCAAAAAAAAGGAGCAAAGCTTTGTTAAGCGGAGCTTTCGTAGTGCACATGATTCCCACTAGGCAAGCATGAGCAACTCACTCTGAGTTAATGCACCCAGTGGTGTCACCTAGGGAGGTTCTCTTTGGACACAGTGAATTTTTTTATAAAAGCAGTTTCACTCAAACTTCATTTTTTTTGTGATGGCCAATTTAAGAAAACAGCATGCAGCCATGAAATTTTGTTTCTTGCACGGGAAAAATGCCGCAGAAACTGTTGTGACATTGAACACAGCTTACAAGGTCAGTGCTATAGGAAAAACTCAAGTGTATCAGTGGTTTTCTCATTTCAAAAAAGGTGAAATGTTGATGGATGACAAACCTCATTCTGGACAACTTCTCAAATGGATGGAAATGTCAATTCCTAGTGCATTTGGAGTTTGTTCCACCTGGTCAGACTGTTTATCAAGTTTCCTATTAGAGATTCTGAAAAGATTGCATAACAATGTGTGATTTTTTTAAAAAGGCCTGATTTGTGGCAGAAAGAGCACTGGTTTTGCCACCACAACAATGCACCTGCTCATGCAGTCATCCCCGTGCACCAGTTTTTGGCAAAAGAACAGCATGCCTCTCTTGCCTCACACACCTGACTCACCTGACCTTGCTCCGTGTGACTTCTTTTTGTGTCTACGGATGAAGAGGATAGCATGAGGACAGCAATTTGACGATGTAGAAACGGTGAAGAAAAAGATGAGGGAGGTGCCGTCAGCCATCCAGACAGATGGGTTTGAAAAATGTTTCCAAAGAATGGAATCACAGTTGACAAGTGTATTAAGTGTAATGGAGAGTACTCTGAATGTGATCAGGTTGTTTTGCATAAAAATTTTTAAATACATAACTTTGAAGAAAAAAGTTCCAGTTTTTTTGGTACTCTCTTATATTCTAGCAACAAAACAAATAAAATCTAGAAAAATAATTAAGAAGTAGGAAGCACAAACAGATTGGTATCAGGACACGTTTAGCAACACGTCTCCTCAATGGCAGGTGAAATGACAGAGTATGCAGGTCTCATATCCCATGTGACTAGAAGTTTGGAAGCTCAATGTTGGTAAGTTCAGTGGCCAACGATGTCACAAAAACCCCACAGCCGACTCATTTTGTTACCGCACCATTCTTAGCTTCTCCTGATCCACTCTGCTCCTCTCTCGGTTGGTCCCAAGCAGCCTGTTTCACCACATCACCACCGTGTGCAACCCCAACTACAGTCCCTCCATCTTTACTTCTGTTAGAAGAAAAGAAAGTTTTACCAGACGGTCCTATTCATCTTATTGGCCATTCCCTCTTAGCAGTCGTCCTCGATTTCCTTTACTCCCCTCTCTCCATCCATAAACAGCCACTACTCTGCCCACCCCCTCTAGAGCACTCCCTATGAAAGGACCGGGGGTACTTTGTGACGGGCTTCTTCCACCTAGCATGATGGTTTCAAAGTTCATCCTGGCCTGGGTATTTGAGAAGAGGTTAATGAATAGCAGCTCTTAGAAGATTTTGTCACACAAGTTGGAGAAGAGGGAAGAAAGGACCAGGCTAAGAGATCCCAGTGGGAGAAGGCAGCTCAGGAGCGACACTGACCCTGGGGAGGCATGGAACGCACAGCTTTCTGTGTCCAGGCTCAGTGGTCAGCAGAAGTATCATGACAAAGTGAAGGTGAAGGCCACAGATCTACTTACCACAGTCAAGCATTGCTTCCTCATCAGCTTGGCTTGAACTGGTTGTCATGAGGATCGCCTTACTGATAGAATCATTACCCTCTTTCCCCAAGTTTCTCTTGGACCCTACAAGTGCTCATGGGCTTGAAAATACCTTAAAACAAGGAAGAAAGATACATGCTTCCCTCCTTTGATTCTTTTAGGCATCAACGTGTTTGTTGTTTTCCCAAGACTGGGCTTGAACCCCCTGCAGATACAGAGCAGCCAAGAGAGTTTGTATTTTGAGCAGTAGGGAAGCTCCTGGAAAGAGGAGCCCCAGTGGCATCGTGGTTCAGAGTTGGGCTGTGATCTGCAAGGTCAGGAGTTTGAAACCACCAGCCACTCCCTTGGAGAAAGGTGGGACTTTCTACTCCTCACCCAGAAACTCACAGGGGCAGTACTTGAGGCAGTGCAAGGGAGGCTCTGTGCATGCAGATGGTGCCTGTGCTCAGCTGCTAACCCAAAGGTGGAAGGTTGGGGTCCACTCAGGTTGACTTGAGAGGAAGGCATGGTGTTCGACTTATGCAGAACCAACTCCGGAGGAATGGGTGCTCCTTGGCTGCCCTTCAGGTCTGGATCCGACCTCACCCTGCAGCTTCCTCTTCAGCCAAGCAAAAGGCAGGTGCACTGGAAGGGGAGCAGTGGCACTAGTGTCATTGCTTTGAGAGCACGAGAGCAGCGCTGGTCCAAGGTCAACGTTCAGAAGGCATAGGAGGGAAGGATGGGAGGCAGAAACACAGTGGAGAAGGAGGAGTGGGGCTGCAGTGAGGGAAGTCCGTGAAGGAAATGAAGCAAAAGGTGTTGAATTGTTGAACGTGAAACTGATGATCTGCTCTGTAAGCCTTCACTCAATTCACAATAAAAAGTTTAAAAGGATCCTGAGCTCCCTACTTTCAGCACAGTTTAAATTGAGCACAGTTCTACTCTGAGACACATGGGGTCGCCCTAGGTCAGAGGCAAGTCAACAACTGGTTTCCAGTGTAGCTCCTAGGATGGCCTGGAAATCTTGAAGGCTCTAAAATTGGGAGCATGGGGATAGGTCCATGGTTCAAATCCGCCAGTCTCTCCGTGGTGAAATGATGAGGCAAACTGCTGCCTCAAAGATTTACAGTCTTGGAAACCCCGTGGTGCGGTTTCAGCCTATCGCATGGGGTCACTATGAGTCAGGACTGACCTCCTGACGGTGGCGGCGGCGGTTCACATCGGATGAGCTCATCTCAGTGCCGATAAAGGCCAGGGAGACAGGATCTGAGGCGCATACGCCAACCAGCTTGCCTAGAGCGGCATCGTTGCTTCTCCCGAGAATGGCCCTTTTGGGGGTGATGCATCCTGGGGTGGCAATAAGATTTATAAGGGAGCACAACCTGCCGTGACACGGCTCCAAGGTTTCAGAATGATTTCTAATCGAGCAAAAGTGGCCCCCGCTCTCTCAACTGGGGTCCGTGGCCTATGTTTGCGGAAGAAGGAAGGATGGAAGAGTCACATTTATCATGATTGTGATTACTCAAAAGACAACAAGGCATTTAAGGTGTTCTCAAATTCACTCAATCTGAACCAATTTGAGGCTTCGGTGCGAGAAGACCAGTCTTCCTTAAGCGCTGCCTGTCACTGTCTTGGATGTCTGTAAAATGCAGCTGGCGCTCCAGAACCTTCTGGTTCTGCGTTGCACAGCTGAGCCAAAGAGCGTCAACATAAAGTACTTTGAATTTAACAATCCAACACACACGGCCCTTTCTCGTCAAAAGAAATTTTTCATATTTGCATTCGTAAATAAAGATAGCAGTAAAAATAAAGCATTAACCAGGAAAAAAAATGTTTTGTAAAAAGCAGGGAAGAGACAGCTGGAGAAGTAACAGGGTGCATCTGAGTGGAGAAGTGTGCTTTTAGCAAAGTGGCGTTCAGAGCACATTCTCATGTTGCCTTCTGGCTGCCTCCTGATAGGATTTCTGATGTTCACTTATTGTTGCGTTAGCACCAGTCTTTTAACTTCACCATCTAGTCCTCCATCCATGATTCGCATACGGGAAAAATCTGAGGGAGGCTTCTTCTCAGACGTTGTGCTCCTACGGTGTCCAGAAACATGTCTGGATGCCTCGGCTTGGCCAGACAGTGAGAAACAATCTGGCAAAATGGTGTCTGGCTGATCCCCCTGGGATGTTCTCTATCAGGATGATCCAACGCCAGTCGATGCTGTGAGAATCACTGCTGCCCGCTGTAAACCTCTGTGAACTTTCTGGGATATTAGACATTGGCACTCACCAGAAAATTAATGCCATCCTTAGTAAGACTCTCCAAAATAAAGCAAATTCCAGAATTTTCACGGTAGAGGAACAGGGTACTCATAAAACTCTTGTTCAGATAAAACAAAATCTGCCTCCCTGCCAGTGAGTCTATTTTAACGTCCATGGACCTTATAGGGCAGGGCAGAAGTGCCTTTCTGGGTTTCCAGCCTTTAGACCTTCCCGGGAGCAGAAAGCCTTGTCTTCCTCCCAAGGAGTGCCTGGTGGGTTTGACCCTAGAAGATGTGATAGATTTAAGAGTGCACTAAGTTTGCTTGCTTTTTAAATTTCTGAAATTCAATCAAATCCCTGGCAGTCAGATGATCCACTTCTGTGCTGCCTGGTCAACAGGTGCCATTAAGAGTGGGACGCGGTGCGACAGCACAGCCATGTCCTTGTCCTTCCAGTGGTCAAGAAACAGCTAACGAGGAAAATGGGCCAGGAAGCCTGGCATTACATAGCCAACATTCACCCACTATTATTTCCTTCCACTCGTTTCTCTTCCTTAAAACCATATCAAAGAGTGTATGTGTGTGTGTGTGGGGGGGGGGGGCAGTGGTTGTTATTCCCCCTCTCCTATTTCTTTCGAGCACAACCAATACATTTTTGTTTAATTACTAGAACAAGTAATTGAGGGAATGGTCGATGGATGTATTTAATTTGCAACATCAAGTAAAGATACCATATAGAAAGGATCCCGTCAGCTGTCAGGATTTAAAGAGGGCTCTGGCAGATTGAGTTATTGGTTCCAGTTCAGCACCACACGCTACAGCCATGCCCTTGGCCTTGTAACTTTCCATACCTCCCACTAGAGGCAGAATTACCCCCCTAGTTCTTGACTTTAGACTTGGTCATATGCCTAGCTTTGGCTGCTGAGATGCTAACAGAAGAGAGGCAAGCAGACACTGAACATGCGTTTACTCAGTTGTGCATGCCTGCTTATGCTTCTGTCATAGTGATGACACACAGTGATGACACACAGTGATGACACACAGCCCACTGGGCCAGAGGAGGAGGAGGAATGTGAGGAAAACGTAGGTCCAATGTGCAGCTTGGTGTCAATTCCAATGAAGCCCAAACTAGATCTCCCACCTACAGACGTCTCCCTCCCTCAAAACCGACTCTGAGTGGCCCTTAGGACATGGCAGAACTGTCCCTGTCTGCGAGTAACTCGTTATGGGAGTAGAAAGCCCTGTCCTTCATCTGACAGAGTTGCTGGTAGTTTCAAACTGCTGACCTTGCTCATTGCAGCTCAACACATAACTACTCCATGCCACAACTCCTCCTAGGGACATATAGGTTCAAAGAAATGATGGCTGTGTAAAGGAGGCTATGTGCTACACAGCTCTGTTATAACTGTTGTTGTTAGCTACCCGGAGTGAGTCTCGAACTGGTGGTGACTCTTGGACGTTGGAACAAAACTCTTCCCCATCCCGCGCCAGCCCCACGATTGCTTGCAGATGTTGTGGTCTAGAGGGTTGTTCTTGGCTGGGGGTCAGAAGCAGGTCCTCAGCCCCTGCTTTCTAGTCTGCCATAGTTCAGAAGCTCCATCGAAGCCTGCTCAGTGTCACAGCAGCACCCAGGCCTCCACAGGCATACTTGTGGCTGAAGCGCCTTGGCTGAGGATCAAACCTGTGCCTCCTGCATTAACGACAATAATTCTACCACTGCATCGCCACTGTCCTCTACTATGATGGTGATAGCGGAATAATACAAGGACTATTATGTAAAACAATTGAAATCACTACCTTTGATACCGGAAGTCCCTTTCCTTTAAGCTGGTCTATTTTACCTGCTTCTGTATATTTGAGCTCTTCCACCTTTTCCCTCCAAAGAGACACCATCTATACTACTCTCATTTCCCAACTGTCCTGAAAGGCCTGTGGTTTTATATTCAATGTATTTACAGACTTGTAAAGGATGTGTATAGTGTGACAATTTAATAATTCAGTAATGCTACATAGACAGAGAGCCTGGTGGCACAGTGGGTTAAGTTTTGGGCTGTTGATGGCAAGGTCAGTAGTTCAAACCCACAAATAGCTCTGAGGGCGAAAGAAGAGGCTGTGTGCTCCCATGAAGCATTGCAGTCCTGGACACCTTCAGGAGCTGTTCTATTCTGTCCTGTAGGGTTGCTATGAGTCAGAATCCTAGCACTCAATGGCAGACGGGTGGGTAATACATACATATAGTACCTATCCCCAGAAGGAAGCTAATCCCACACACATACTAACAGTTTCTCCAAGTAAGTTTCATGTTTTGCATAAATGTCTATGGATCTGTGTTTAAAAGGAGTCATCGGAGGTTGACTAAGATTTTCCAAAGGTAAACCACTGCCAACCTTATAAGGCATGAAATCCCTTTCGAGACATTTGAAAATGGAAAGAAAAGTGACGTTACATGGAATCAGAGGTTGTCTCTAAACTCAGTTAACGCTTGAATGACGAGGAAGAAAAACTAGTAAAAAATAAAGGCTAGAATAGGGAACTTACACGATGACTAAATTGCATACTAATAAACATATTCTTTAGCCAAATAAGCCAAAATCACGGCAAAAGTAGCTTTTGTCTTCTGTATTCTTTTTCTAGCCTATCTCGGTCAGCACTCTCAGTCAAGCCTGTCACAGGATTTGTGCTTCAGGTTACAAAAGCCACGCCCGTCATTTTTAGGCTTGATTCCCCTGCCCCCAAGTGTTAACTGACTTTTCTCCCTAAACCTCCCTCTTCCCTCCACAGGGGCTTTTATGCGGAAGCCGGCCGCTGTGAACGCTGCAGTTCCGCTTGCAGAGCCTGTGAAGGGCAGGCCTCCCACTGCCGGTCTTGCAGAGGAGAGTTCTTGTTGGAGCAGGGGGCGTGCCGGGAGACCTGCTCCCCGAGGCATGTGGCTGTGGAGGGCGTGTGCAGGCAGTGCCCAGAGAGGTGCCAGGACTGTATTCACGAAGACACGTGCAAAGGTACTCAGGGGCATTTCAGTCGAGTGTGGTTCCCACCACACTGCAGAAACGCTGCCTCACTTCCTTTAGCGCCAGGGCTTCATCTCCCTGAGCGTCGCTGTGGAAACGACGAGTGTCTCCCACGGATTCTGAAAGCTGAGGCACACCAGAGCCCTTTCCGCAAGAGGTCTTCTGCACACGTGCACTGAAGTCCTGAGGGGCCAAGGGTGCAGCTGTTCACTGAGAAGGCAGTGGTTCCATATAGATTTACCATCTTGGAAGCCTATGGGGCAGCTCTGCTCTGTCCTATAGGGTCATGATGAGTCCGAATTGACAGGACAGCAAGGACCTTTGGGTTCATCAAAGTCCCTGAGTCAGACAAACAGTAAGTCCTCAACTACTGGCTGAAAGAGTAACAGTTCAAATGTACTCAGCCGCACCTCAGAAGACAGCCCTGGGACCTGCTTTCTCTGATCACAGCCTGGAGACCCCGGTGGAGCCCAGTTGTTCTACTTTGCACACACAGATCACCACCAATCGGAATGGCCTCTCTGACATCTAATCACTAGGGGTCCCTGAGTGGTGCAGCGATGACGGGTGACGACAAAACATGGACAGTTCGACTCCCCACAGTGGCACATTGGAAAGCTGCCCTAGTGATCGACCTCCCCCAAACCCATCACTAAAACTCTCTGGAGTACAAGTCTACTCTGACGAACAAGGGCGGCCATGACTCAGAGCCTGCTGGCTGGCCTCTGGGTTGCTTTTGGTTTTACTGATCACTTAGTGTGCGCCGAGCACCTCCCAATAACTGGAGACTGGAGACCCATAGGAGAACCCACGGCCCCACCTTGTGCTGGCAAACGCTTACAGCAAGGCTGCCCTTCACTAGAAGAGGGTGCCTTTCGTTTCTCCTGTGGTTTTAACAGCTGGAAATTTGGGCTGCTGTAAGACGCTAACAATGACACCATCGGCTACCAATATTGGGTTTTTGTCTTTGTTTTTCTCTAGAATTATCTTACAAATAAGGCTGTCCAGTAGCCTTCCCAACCTGATAATTTGTGTGAGGCTGGAAAAAGACTGGGCTTTCTACTCCCATTACACGTACAGTCTTGGAAGCCCACGAGGGTTGCTATGAGTAAGCTCGATGGCAGTGGGTTTGGGGTTTGTTTGTCTGTTTGTTTGGCCCTATTTAGCGTGAACATTGGACCACTAACCACAAGGTTAGGTGCTTGAACCTACCAGCTGCTACTCGGGAGAAATGTGAAGCTGTCTGCTTCTGTAAAGATTTATAGTCTTGTAAACTCTGTATAGGGGTCCCTCTGAGCCAGCATGAACCCAATGGCCGTGAGTTTTAGTTTAGTTTGGGGTCCTAGCTAAAAGAGTCTTTTGGGGTGACCTAAAATGCTTTCTGTATTCTCCCTCAAATGAGCAAACGAACACAATAATCAAAGAAGCCCCCGTGCATGATTTCACATGCACTAGATCTTAGGGTCCTGCACCCAATCCAGTTAACACAGTCAAGTTGATTATCAGAGAGGGTAAATCAACAGTATTACTACAAAATCCTAGAATCCTTTCTTAAACAAAAAATATCAAAAGGTGAAGCTATTGTTTTTTCGCCTACCCTTCATCTCGATCTATATACTTCCGAGGGGGATGATTCCATCTTTTGAATCTTTCCCTAAAGAACTCCACACTGTTTGATTTAGACCACATCAAAACAGCAGCTCTGACACCCTCAAGTGACTCGGTCAGGTTCCTGCTGAACGAAGTCTGAAGGGGCGAGGTTAGGGCCATCGGATGACTCGGGTGAGGTTCCCAGGGAAATTCTGCCAGGACAGCCCTTCGTTGTCAAGATGGGAAACACGTTGCTGGCACAAGTGCACTGGTCTTTTTCTCACCAATGTAGTTCTCGATGTTCTTCAAACTTCTTCCTAATAAGTACCTATGATCATGCTATGTCCTTTGAAAGGACCTACAAGGTGACCTTTTGGAACCCCCTCCCCCGAAAACAAACAAAAACCAGACACTAAATTTCTGAGCTGACCTCTGTGCTTTATATTTCACTGTCTCAGAAGATCCTCTTGGAAACCACTGTTGTGATTGGACCTCTTCTTTGAAGTCATCCCGCCAAGATTAAGACAAGCATGTTACTGAGACAATTTGCCTGCAGCAATCCACTGATGGCAGAGACACATTTAGCCACATTCCGTTTGAAACAAACCTGTGCATATATGAACTAGAACCCTAGTAGTGATATTTTATACTTCCCCTTGTGTATTTATTGATTGATCTACTATCAGTTTACACAGAGCTTCCAAACTAAGGGCAGACTACAAAGAAGGAACAGCCTGTCCATTATGGACGAGTTAGTCACTGAAAACCTTCAAAAGAGCTGTCAAACACTGTCAGATATAGATGCCAGAAGATGAGCCCCTTGGGTCTGTTGTTTCTGGTGCTGTTAAATGGGTTCCAACGCACAGCGACCCTACCATGTACACGACAACGAAGCACCTCCGAATCCTACACTGTCCCCACAATTGTTCTTACATTTGAGCCCATTGTTGCAGCCACTGTGTCAATCCATCTTGTTGAGGGTCTTCTTTGTCTTTTGATGCCACTCTACCAAGCATGATGTCCTTTTCCAGGGACTGGTCTCTCCTGATACAAAGCCCAAAGCACTTCAGATGACTTCTCACCACCCTTGCCTCTAAGGAGCTACTTTTTTCCCATGACAAATCTGTTTGTTCTTTTGACAGTCCATAGTACGTTCAATATTCTTCAACACCATGGTGCAAAAGAACTGATTTTTCTTGTCTTTCTCATTCAGTGCCCTACTTCTATATGCATGTGATGCGTCAGGTATTCCTGTCCTAAAGTAGAGTCAACCATAACGGCATAAAGCCTTCAGGACTTTCATTTGCTGAAGGGGCACAACCCCAGGAGAGAACAAACAGCCACAAAAATCTCCTGCTAGTTAGAACGTAAAATGCACAAAGTATGAATAAAGGAAGATCAAGAGTTGTCGCCAATGAAATGGAACACATGAATATCTATCGTCAGCTGAAGTGGTCTAGTAGCCATTTTGAATCAGAAAACCCCATGGTTCACTGTGTCAAGAATGCATCTCATGCATCAACTAAAAGGACATTTGAAGATCTATCTTGAAGTACAATGCTATCTGGGACAGAATAATATATATCCTCATCTAAGGAAATTCAGTATATACAAACATGATTCAAATTTACTCATCAACCACCAAAGTCAGTAAGGCAGAAACTGAAGAGTTTTACCAACCTCTTCAGTCTGAAATTGATCAAGCATGCAACCAAGATGTATTTATAATTATTGGTGATTAGAATTGAAAAATCAGAACAGTAGTTAGAAAATCTGGTCTTGATGATACAAACAAATCTGAAAAATCGTGATAGAATTTCGCAAGATCAATGACTTCATGGAAAATACGTTTTTTCTTTTCTTTTTTAAAAATCATTTTATTAGGGGCTCATACAACTCTTATCACAATCCATACATCCATCCATTGTGTCAAGCACATTTGTACATTTGTTGCCCTCATCATTCTCAAAACATTTTCTTTCTACTTGAACCCTTGGTATGAGCTCCTCATCTTTTCCCCCTCCCTCTCCAACCCTCCCTTCCTCCCGAACCCTTGATAATGTATAAATTATTATTATTTTGTCATGTCTCACACTGTCCAATGTCTCCCTTCACCTACTTTTCTGTTGTCCATCTCCCAGGGAGGGGGTTATATGTAGATCGTTGTGATCGGTTCCCCCTTTTTATCAACAACACCAGTGTCACTACACATGTGGACTTCTCCAGATGGAAGACACAGAAATCAAATTGACTGCCTAGATGGGAAAGCATGCCGGAGAAGTTCAATATCAGCAGCTGAAACAAAGCCAACTCTGGATCAGACCATCAACTGCTCATGTGGATGTTCAAGTGGAAGCCAAAAAAAATGAAATCAAGTCCACAAGAGCCAAAACACAACCTTAAGCCTATCCCACCTGAATTTCCAGGACATCTCAAGAACAGATTTGGCACATTGTAGGCTAAGGACAGAGACCTGATGAACTGTGGATGAACATCAAATGTGAAAAAAGCAAAAAATCATTGAAAAGTCAGAAAAGTGATTGAACCATGGAATGGTATGATGTCTGTATTAACTCCTAGAAAAATGGTTTGAAGAAGACAAAGAAAGACAGGAAAGAAATAAAAGATCAAAGTGAATGTCAAAAGAGAACCCAGATTTTTGTCCCCAAGATCATTACAGGTGAGGAAACATGGTGCTATTCTTACCACCCCAAAGGCAAGCATCAATCAAGCCAGTGGAAGATGCCATCTTCTCCTCGCCCCCAAAAGCTGTTCGAGTGAAATAACGATTAAAATGATGCTCATTTGGTTTTTTGACATGAGGGGGATAGTGCATTTGGAGTTGATTCCACCAGGTCAGACTGCTAACCAAGTTTTCTATTGAGAGGTTCTGAAAAGATTGGGTGGTAAAGAAGGCCTGATCTGTTGCAGATGGGACTGGTTTTGCCGCCACGACAACGCACCTGCTCACGCAGTCATCTCAGTGTGCCAGTTTTTTGGCAAGAATAGCATGCCTCGCTTGCCCTACGCACCTAACTCACCTGACCTTGCTCTGGGAGACTTCTTTTTATTTCCTCGATAAAGAGGGGCATGAAAGGACAGCAACTTGATGATGTAGAAGAGGTGAAGAAAAAAATGAGGGAAGTGCTGTCAGCCATCCAAACAGATGAGTTTTAAAAGTGTTTCCAAGAATGGAATTGCAGATTTGACAAATGTGTTAAGTATAATGGAGTGTACTTTGAAGGTGATCGGGTTGTTTTGCAAAAAAAAATAAAATTAAATACATAGCTTTGAAAAAAAATCCCTGCTTTTTTTTTTTTGGTGTGTGTGTGTATGTGTGTGTGTGTGTACCCCCTAATACATAGAATTACTTACCAAAAAGAACTAGTGGACATCCAAACATTTCAAGAGGTAGCATATGATCAAGATCAATGGTACTGAAGGAAGAAGAAGACATTAGCCAAAAACAAGGCTCTAGGTAATAATGGAATACCCACTGAAATGTTTCAGCAAGCTGATGAAGTGCTGGAAGCACTCGCTCATCTAGCCAAGAAATGTGGAAGAGACCAACCTGTCCAATTGACTGGCAGGATCCATATTTGTAACCATTCCAAAGAAAGGTGACCCAACAGAATGTGAAAATTATAAAACAATATCATTACAAGTAAAATTTTGCTGAAGATCATCTGACAATGATTGCAACAGTACATTGACAGGGAGCTGTCAGAAATGCGTGCTGGATGCAGAAAAGGACACGGAACAAGAGATAGTATTGCTGACATTAGATGGATATTGGCTGAAAGCAGAAAATATCAGAAAGATGTTTAAATTGTGTTTTATTGACTACGCAAAGGCATTCAACATCATGGACCATAACAAACTATGGATAGTTTGTTATTGTTTGAGAATTACAGAACACTTAATTGTGCTCATGTGGACCCTCTATGTGAATCAAGATCAGGGGCAGTTAGGTGAACAGAACAAGGGACTACTCCAAGGTTTAAAATCAAGAACGGCATGTGTCAGGGTTGCAGCCACACTAACTCAATCATGATAAACTGAGAAAAGGTCAAGTTGTAAAAGGCTTTATATTTCTTGGATCCACAATCAGTGTTCACGGGAGCGATAGTCAAGAGGTCAAAGTACACGTTGCATGGAGTAAATCTGCTGCACAAGACCTCTTTAAAGTGTTGAAAAGTGAGGAGGGCGTTATTTGAGGACTAAGGGACGCCTGACCCAAGTCAGAGTATTTTCAATCACTTCATATGCCTATGAAAGTCGGACACTGAAAAAGAAGGGTCTATGCATGTAATTATGGTGCTGACAAGGACTATTGAAAGCACCGTGGATTGTCAAAAGAACAAACAAAATCCAAATTGGACGAAGTTCAGCCAGAATGCTCTTTAGAGGCAAGGACGATGAGACTTGGTCACGCGCACTTAGGACGTGTTGTCAGGAGGGACCAGTCCCGGGAAAAGGGCATCCTGCTTGGCAGAGTAGAGTGCCAGCAAATGGAAGACCACCTTCCACAGACGGATCGACACAGTGGCTGCCGCAATGGGCTTCAGCGTAACAATTGTCGGGATGGCGCAGGACCAGGCAGTGCTTCACTGTGGGGTGTATAGAGTTGCTATGAGTCAGAACTGACTTGAGGGCATCTTATAATACCACTAAGAGAAAGATGGGCCTTTCGACTATCATAAAGAGTTACAGCCTCGGAAACTCACAGGGGTTGCTATTCGTCCACATTAACTCGCTGGCAGTGAGAGACTGAGAACCACATCAACTAATAATACAATAACTAATTCCTCAATTGCTCTCTGTATTGAACAGAATGTGGAGGGTGCAATAAAAAAAATTACATTTATACATGCTTTTCAGGGTTTTCAAACAGGATCTCCAACATCGAATTCATCCCTTGTCTTCACCGCTCTGCCATTTGTGAGCACCTCCAGGCCTTAAACATAGCAACAACTGGTGAAGCCAGTGTGTGTGTGTGTGTGTGTGTGTGAGAGAGAGAGAGAGAGAAAACACAAAGTAAATGCTCACTGGAGAAGCACGGCGGTGAGGCGCAGTCCTAGCCCACTGTGAAGGAATGCATCCCTGTCTTGTCCTTCCACCCCTGAGATAACTGTTCCCTCCTTCTCTGCAGAGTGCATGCCCAACTTGGTCCTGTACAACGACAAGTGCCAGCAGTCCTGTCCCAGTGGCTTCTACGAGGACTCAGGCCAGTGCGTCCTCTGCCATGATGGCTGCCAGGAGTGCAGCGGCCCTGGTGCGGATGACTGTGACCGCTGTGCAGATTCATCCCTGGTTCTCTACAACGGGCAGTGCTTGGAAGCGTGTCCACCAGGAACTTACTTTGAAAGAGAGACTAGCGAGTGCAAAGGTAATCAACTTCCAGGCAGCCATGGAATCCCAACTTTCTGGAGCCATTGAGGCTGGATGAACCCCTGAAACCACTACTCTGAGACAAGTGTTCAACTTACACCAAAAGTATCCCCCTGACGTCTTCGCTAAAACCAAACAATAGTTTACTTTCATTAGTAAAGACTGTCTGCCTTGAGCGTCATACTTCTTTAAGAACTCCCTATAACAGGATCCAATTGATAACAAGGACTCAACTATTTTATCCATCTGTAGGGCACCCTTAAGGAGCTTTGATTTTATGTTCACAGGATTGGAGCAATTCAGATACGGCAGGTGAGAAAGGTTGCACCACTAGACAAACATGATCAGTGTGTCATTGAGTTGTACATGTCGAAATCATGGAATTGGTTTATGTTTTGCTGTCCATAGGACCCCTGGTGGCACAAGGATTAAGTGTGCACTGCTAACTGGATCCTCCCCACTGCTCCATGGGAGAAAAAAAGCAGCACTCTGCTCCTATAAACATTATAGCCTAGAAAACTCTATGCAGCGGTTCTGCTTGGACCTATAGGGTGGCTAAGTCAGAATCAATTTGAAGACACAAAACAGCTATAATTGCTGTGTCTATTCTCCACAACAACCTACTGTCCCATGGCCATCTAGTAAATTCTGATCAGTAGCAACCCTGTAGGACAGGATAGAACTACTCCCTAGGATTTGTGAGCCCTGATCCGCCAATCCTTCAGTGAGCAGCCATGTTCGTACTGTCCAGTGATTCCTATCCTTGGCATAGGGTCTTAGGAGTCCCTGGAAGAAAGGGGAACTCACTTTCCAGGGGAATTAGTTCCCTAGAGGGGTGGTCTGATCCTTTCTGTCTGCCTGCTGCCCCCACTATGCCAGAGTGCCACAGGACCTGCCGGACCTGCACGTCACCGGGGACATGCGAAGTATGTCAAGACGGCCTGAGGAAAAACAGCCACGGGAGCTGTGTGGCTTACGAGAAGTGTTCCCATGCGGAGTACTGGGACGAGGAGGCCCGTAGCTGCCAGCCCTGTCACAGCAAGTGCGTCCACTGCACAGGGCCCGCCGAGGACCAGTGTCTCACCTGCTGGAGAAACAGCCTTCTTCTCAGTGAGTTTCTTTCCCCGCCAGCTGGGAAACTACCTCATGCCCAGCACGGTACCCATTCGATATTGGCTTCTTTCCTTTTTTATTGTGGCTTTGTGAGATAAACGGCATGACCTGCACTGGGGTCACTTGCAGCCCCACAACAGGTGAGTCTGCAGCCCTTGGTGCAGCGGCTCCGATAGTCTTTGGCTGTCCACCTGTGCCAATGCCAAATGGAGCTGCGGAGACAAACTGGCCTCTGGTCTATAGCCAACCAGGTGTTCATACTAATCACTCAGGAGGAGCTGGCTTCCATCCTGCAAGGTGACGCAGAAACTGAGCAGGTAGCTGCCTGGAAGCCACACAGACTAAACCACGATGCAAGAAGGTCTCTTATTATTTTTACCTTCTAACAAATCTAACTTCACCTTCTAGTTTTAGTGTTGCTAAAGAAGAAAAAACAACCACCCCTGTCCTCATCGGGGCTTGGTGCATGGAAGATTGGGTGGTTGGGGGCTGAGTGGCTCAACTCCAGTCTTGTGACTTTATGGAGAGAGGATTTGGGATGGCTGTCTAATTTATTAAAAGCACGGTTCACACAGGGTCTCCTTGTTCCATTGCCTCGGGCATGGTAGAAATGTTCTGTCTCTGTTCCTGCATGCATCGAAAGAACTGAAGCATTCATTTTGTTATGTTTCTCTTCAATGTAATTTAAAGTTAAAGAGCCCCATAGTGTAGACAACACAGCTGGATTTGGGCCCAAAATCTTACCCTAGAGGGAATGCATTCAAATTTGAAGTGTGGTATCATGTCATCATAGATGAGGGGGTACCTCCCCCTCCCCCCAAATGGAGAAAAGCCCCACCGGGCAGTGCTTTAGTACACATTTTTCCCACTAGGTGAGCATCAAGCAATTCACTCTGAGTCAGTGCACCCAGCGGCATCACCTGGGAATAGTCTCTCTGGTTGCAGTGAATTTCTTCATAAAAGCAGTTTCACACAAACCTCATTTTTGGTGATGGCCAATTAAGAGAACAGTGTGTGGCTGTGAGATTTTGTTTCCTGCTTGGGAAAATGCCGCAAAAACTGTTAAGATGTTGAACACACAACAAGAACAGTGCTATGGGAAAAACTCAAGTGTACAAGTGGTTTTCTCATTGAAAAAAAAAAAAGGTAAAATGTCAATTGATGAAAAACCTCATTCCGGACATCCATTAACTTCCTGAATGGATGAAAATGGCAACTCATAGTGCATTTGGAGTTCGTTCCACCAGGTCAGACAGTTAATAAGGCTTTCTATTTAGAGGTTCTGAAAAGATTGCATAATAGTGTGCGACAAAAAAGGCCTGATTTGTGGCAGGCAGACAGGGAACTGGCTTTGCCATGACAAAACACCTGCTCATGCAGCCATCTCAGTGTGACACTTTTTGGCAAAAACAGCATGCCTCTCTTGCCCCACGCACCTTGCTCACCTGACCTTGGCTCCATGAGACCTCTTTTTGTTTCCACCAATGAAGAGGGACATGAAAGGACAGTGATTTGAATATGCAGAAGAGGTGAAAAATTAGGGAGGTGCTGTCAGCCATCCAAACAGATGAGTATGAAAAATGTTTCAGATTTGACAAATGTATTATGTGTAATGGAGAGTACTTTGAAGGTGATAAGGTAGTTTTCTAAAAAAAAAAAAATTAAATACAAAGCTCTGGGGGGAGATCTGTTTGGAGGGGAGGGGGATACCTCCTGGCTTGGTAGACCCTGGGTCAACTTCCAGGTCAACTTTCTAGACTGTAGTTCTGTTTTGTTCATCATCTCTGTGGTCAATTCTACTTCTCAGATGTTCATTTTAACTTCTCCAGCATATCCATCCTCCCAGGGGAACATTGTCTCATCCTCCTGTACCCCTTGCTCCTGATACACAGTGGGGAGCATGGCATGGGGGACACATGGTATGCTTGAGGCCAAGACAGACTCTTTTGCAGACATGACATGTGTGGAGGACTGCCCTGAGGGTTACTATGCGGATGAGGACAACCACCGGTGTGCCCCATGCCACCGCTCCTGTCGGACATGTGAAGGGGGCCACAGCATGCAGTGTCGGTCCTGCCAACCTGGCTGGTTCCAGCTGGGGAAGGAATGCCTGGACGCGTGCAGGGAAGGGTAAGGTGCTCCACCCATCCCCCCTCGCTCCCCTTTCAGCCTTCTGCCACCCCAGACATCACTATTCGCCAAGTTTACAGGTGCAGAAACTTAGACTCAGAGCACATATAGCACCGATTTGAAGTCTCTTTTCACGTAAGGAGCTAACATGAGGGTCCAGCTCAGGCTCAAAGGTCCCTGGAGGATGTCAGAGTCGCAGGAGAGAAATAGGAGAGGCCAAGCGGTCCAGGGCCACAACACAAATAAGCAATTGTTAAGTCAAACTCACAACCTAGGGCCGAACTTCACAAATAATTCAAAGCAAACAGTCCCAAGGCACGGGGAAAACACCCCTCCCTGGAGACGCCAAGACCGTCACGTGGCCTCTTTCCTTTTTTGTTAGGGTTCTTCTGATGTGGCTCTGACACGTGAGCCTCACGTTGTGCATACGGGGACAGCTTCAATTACATGTCTCCATTTATAGCCCATTCATTCTACAACCAGTCTTGCTCCCTAAATCCACAAAGTCCAACTTTATTTATAATACTCAATCTAGACAGACCAGGTATGCCCTTCTAAAATCTTTCCAGAGATAGGGCTCTCTATCAATTTTCTGCTAGAAAAAAATTATCCATGTGTTTTTTCAGGTCTGGTTATGAACACATTTGGAAGGGGGTTTAACTGAGTTCTTCCACACCGCCTCCCCCAGACATCCCCAGACAAAGAAGGATAGGTACCAGTCCTCCTGTCCACAATTCCTTCCAGCCAGTCGTTTAGGGCCTTGAGTGTTTCCAGAGCCAAACTGAAAGGCTCTTTGAAACACCTTGGTGTGACTTTTGGCGTCTTTAATGGTTTTCTACCAATTTGACCCTTCTACTTGTCTTTATTCCAGCATTCACTGCCTGAAGTACTCAGGTGTAGGGGTGTGTGTGTGTGTGTGTGTGTGTGTGTGTGTGTGTGCTTACTCAATGCATTCAATGACTTGTGCCTTCAACAAATGTTAATAGTCAGCACCTTGCATGTATCAGAAAGTCAAAGTATGATTCAAAGGGAAAGAAGAGCAAGAGGTAGCTTAAAAGAAAACACCTCTTCCCAAGAAAATTATAAGCTCCTAAGAGAAAAATAGCATTTTCTGTCTCATACACGCTACTGTAACAACCAGTACAAAGCCACTTGTTAGCAACCCTCTAAAAATGCCAGTCGTAACGATCAATGAAGGAGGTCTGGTGGCGCAGCTGTTAAACACTCAGCCGCTTGGGCGCCTCCGTGTCTCTGCAAGGAGAGTGTGGCAGTCTCCCTAGATAAAGACGACAACCTTGGAAGCAGCTCTGCTCTGTCTCAGCGTGGGGTCAGACTCAACAGTAACTGGTTTTCAGATGAACACACAGGATGGGATGGCACTGTCCTGCAAGTCTCACCCTATAACCATGCCCTGGAGAGATCCGGATTCCATACAAAGGATCACCAGCTTCCTCAAAACAAACCCTTAAACTCCTCCAAGCACATTAAAAAAAAAGTACAATAACACACGTGATAGAATCCTCCATCTAAACAGACTGTCAACATGAAATCGATGATGCAATTGTTCCATCTCCCAGTTGACCAGTTCCAGGTTGCCACGGAGCCAGAAGGGTCCAGGTTGTTATAAATCTCCTTAGTGGATTACAAATGGGGTATTGATGAGATATGAACAGAGACCATGTAACTGGAATTGATGCCTGTATAAGATCAATGTCCCGCCAGCACTGTTTAAACCTCATATGTGAAAGGGCTTTCAATGAAAAGGTGGATGTGCAATTCTCTCCTTTCTGGAACAGCATATATAATTATTTTCATGTTTACCCTCAGAGACGGTTCTTTACAACCCCTGTGATTTCAAGACGGTGAGGTTCAAAAGATTTCATAGTCATATGTAAGCGTCATAAAAGTAGGAGTCAGTTAGCTCTTTATTGTCTTTCATCATTACTCTGGTAATTTTTAAGCCTACTTGGTATTGATAAACTTTCTTTGCTCCTAGAATGGTTTACACCTTTGTAACACTTTATATTAGTCAAGAATTTTTGCATGCTCCTTTTTAATGGATTAAATATTATCACTAAAAATATATCTATAACCATTCATTAATTATAATTTCATATTTAAGTTATATTACTATATATTTCTTATACTTTCTATTATAATATATCGTATCCATTATCTATTATAATAGGTGATTCTATTATACAATTTGATATGCCATGCCAACATAACAAAATGAAGCATAACAACATACTATAACATAATGCTTGACTGCTAACCACAAGGTCAGCAGTGGAAAACCATGTCACTCCCAGGAGAAAGGAGGCGTTCTGCTTCCGTGAAGAGTCTCAGAAACCCACAGGGGCCGTTCCGCCCGTCCTAAGGGCCGCTAGGGGTTAGAGCCGACTTGGTGGCGGTTAGTTTGACTTTTGGTAGCATAATCTATAATCACTCTATAGTATGTTACATATAGCCATATAATTAATTATTTGTTATATAATTTTACACATTAAGCATAGCTTAATGAACATTATAATGTATACTCCTTAAATTTTACAGATAATAATAACTTTCCCAACAGTCCCGTGAGGTTGATATCATGGCCTCCATTTGACAGCGTAGGGAACGGAGACGCAGAGGAGTTAAGTGCCTTGACTCCAGTCACATAGCTACTAATAGTAATGGTGGAGCCAGAGCTGAAAACTGGCTCTTGGCAGTTCAGTTTGACATATTTCTGCTTCGTGTTTCCCCCCTGCTTTCTTCCTCATTGAAGCGGCATGCTGTCTGTCTGTGGCTGATGCTTTCTTTTGTTCTCTTGTCAACACCATCGCTTGCTCGCTCTCTCTTTAGGCGGAGAGTGGGGGTTTTAACAAACAGAAATGTGATCTTTCTGCGGAGGCTAGAAAGCTGAAAATAGGGTGCCACCTCCCGGGGTAGGCTTTCTCTCACTGTCAGCTAAAGGGGGGGTCATTGTTTTCTTTTTACGTCTGTGGCCTTCGAGATTTCCACGAGTCTTTTTTTTTTAAGGGGACACCGTGCAGTCACTTTGAGGAGTCTGGGTGTGGCTTTTATCGTATATTTTAGTATTTATTAGGAATTGGGTGAAGGTGCAGATGTTTTCCATTCAACAATTCATTGTGACTCCCACCATGTAGCCTCACAGAGTCCACAAGCGCCGTGTCCCCTGCCTCCAATCCATCTTCTTTCCCTTGTGAAGTTTGTCCTTGTGTAAGTACTGCCCCTAGCTCTGAAATGGTCAACGGTTCTAAGGTGTGCATATGCCCCTAGTGTTACTGTTCCCCTTAGAGACCTGTCTACTGTTTGGTTGAAAATTGAGCCATGGGGACGAGCACAATTCCTAAAAAATGACAAAAGCTATGGTCTCCGTGGTTCCACCAGTCTCTCTTTGACCAGTTAGCCTGGCCTATTTTATGGAGAACCACACAGGTGTATGTTTAACATGACTGGCCGTACACGTTGAAGTTTGAGTTTGGAAGTGGAGAAAGAAATGAAAGAAGAAAGTGAAGGCATCATTACGTGTGATAGAGTCCCTGAGTGGCACGGGCTGCTAAGCACTCAACTCCTAACAGAAAAGTTGGCAGTTTGAATTTTCTCAGAGGCGCCTCAAAAGGCAGTTTAGAAGGTCACTGGCTTGTGAAAGTTCTATGGGACACAATTCTATTCTGCAACACAGGGGTTACCTGACTGGGAATCAACTGGACTGCAGTTGGCTTAGTTCTACAACAAGTGGTAGGTACTCAGTCCTGATGGGAATGTAATCTAAACAACTCCTTGAACAGAACACCACAGGGGAGGTAGGATAATGCTCAATTTACACACAACCAAGAATCAGTATACGAGGAGATACCCCCACCCCTGCCAAAAAACCCCAAACAAACCAGAAATGTGCTGGGCAGAGCAGAGCTTTGGCTGTACATTTTCCCCACTAAGCAAGCATGGAGCAACTCACTCTGAGTTAGTGCACCCAGGGACACCACCTGGGAACATTCTCTCAGGTCACAGTGAATTTTTTCTTAAAAGCAGTTTTGCTCGAACCTCACTTTTTTTTTTTGGTGAGGGCCGATTTAAGAGAACAGCACGTGGCTGTGAGATTCTGTTTCCTGCTCGGGAAAAATGCTGCAGAAACGGTTGTGATGTTGCACACAGCTTACAAGGACAACGCTATGGGAAAAATTTAAGTGCACAAGTGGTTTCCCCATTTCAAAAAAGGTGAAATGTCGATTGATGACAAACCTTGTTCTGAACATCCATCAACTTCCAAATGGACAAAAATGTCGACTAGTAGTGCATTTGGAGTTCATTCCACCAGTCAGACTGTGAATTAAACTTTCATTTAGAGGTTCTGAAAAGATGGCGTAATAGTGTGCAACACAGAAGGTCTGATTTGTGACAGGTGAGGGACTGGTTTTGCCACCACAACAATGCACCTGTTCACACAGCCATCTCAGTGCACTAGTTTTTAGCAAAAAACAGCAGGCCTCTCCTGTCCCATGCACTTTACTCACCTGGCCTCACTCCGTGTGACTTCTTTTTGTTTCCTCAAATGCAGAGGGACATGAAAGGACAGTGATTGGATGACTTAGGTGACGAAAAAGAAACAAGGGAGGTTCTCTCAGCCATCCAAACAGATGAGTTTGAGAACTGTTTCCAAGAATGGGATCACAGATTTGACAAATGTATTAAGTGTAATGGAGAATACTTAGAAGGTGATAAGGCTGTTTTGCAAAACAAT